AAGGAAAATGACTCGGCAAAGCGTCGCGCTTTATGCCTACGTATTCTCATCAGAGAATGAGAAATCAGAGTCGACGTAGTTCGCCTAACTACGGGGGAAGGGGGGAAGGTTGCTCGCTAGGATATCGCATCCTATGCCTACGTACTTTCATCTGGTATGAAAGATCAGAGCAAACGTAGTTCGGGAAACTACGGGTTAAAATGGCTCAACTAGGAGGGAGACTATCAAGTCCTACTGTTATCATGCCATGGATTCATCCTACGGTTGAGGTTTGAACAGGGAACTCCTAGATGTTGTCATGCATAGGTTTCAACCTAAAGTCTATCACCAAATCCTCATCAAAGGAAATGAGAGTCCTAAGGGATCATGTCAATGATACACCAAAACAGACAAAAGCATCAACTTTAACAGTAAAATGCATGCAATGCAAGTGAGGGAGGAAATGTGTGTGGGGTTTCAGCCTCCACAAGCTCGTCTCGACCTCAAGCCAGTCATGAGATAACAGTAATCATACTGAAATATAAACAACATGCTATCAAGCAAAGAACCAGATAAAGGAAATGAAGTGCCAACAGGCAATCAAACACACATGCTTGAGAAAGAAAGAATCTACTCTCTAATCCTAACCCTAATCACAGAGTCTGAATCAAATCTAAGCAAAGCCCTCAAGCAAAACCCTAAACAAGAGAATCAATCCCAGTCTACAAGCTTCAGAACAAGCTTACCAAAGACAGGGAGCTAAGCAAGCAGGCTCATAGTGTCTTCCTCAGGAGAACACTAGGAGGTGTATACTCAGGAGTCATACCCTATGTGGCTCAACCACTGTGATCAGTTTATATTCCTCCTCAGGAGAAATTAAACTCACAAGCAGGCTCCAACATCACTGGATATTTAGGAAATCCTATCTGAACTAGTGGAACTAAATGAACAGACTCATAGGACCTTCCTCAGGAAAGTACTAGGAGGCCTCCACTTAGGAGTTGTATCCTATGTGGCTCAACAACTGTGATCAGTTTACATTCCTCCTCAGGAGAAATTAAACTCACAAGTTGGCTCCAACGTCATTGGATACTTGAGAAATCCTAGATAAACTAAGGGAACTAAGTGAATAGACCCATAGGACCTTCCTCAGGAAAGTACTAGGAGGCTTCCACTTAGGAGTTGTATCCCATGTGGCTCAACAACATGTGATCAGTTTACATTCCTCCTCAGGAGAAATTAAACTCACAAGTTGGCTCCAACATCACTGGATACTTGAGAAAGAGGTGAGAAGAAAGAATGAAAGTCATTCACAGTGCCTTCCTCAGGAAAGTACCATGAACTTCCTTCAAACTTCAGGATCTCAAACCTCACAGACAGGGGACAAGCCAAGCTTTGGGTCTCTGAATCTTGATCTACAATCTTCTCTTCATCATTCTCTCCAACAAGGTCTTCAAGGCAACACAATCCCCTCAACAAATTCCCCACAATGAACCCCAGGGATGAACAGATAACCACAAAATAGACAAAATCAATAGGCAACTTCAGAAAATACCTAAAAATACTAAACCAATGGGGAAAAATCTAACAATTATTCACAAGGGTCTACAACATCTACCCATAACATCTACATAGGCCTCTACCTAAAAATCAAGACAAAACTTATTCAAAGAAAGTGAATTCTTCACCTAAGCACAACCTAAACCCTAATTAGGATACCCTACATCTACCCTAATTAAACTAATCAAAATTTAATTCTAAAATTCTAGAATAAATCCTATGGGGAACTATGATTCATCATCTAATTGCACAAAAAAGAATGGATTAAAAAACCTAAGGGAAGGTCCTAAAACAATTCTTGCAAAATCATGATACCAAACTAAACATTATAAAAGCTATTTAAAAGAAAAAATCTATTAAAAATACTAAACCTAAAAATAAAATCCCACTTTTATTTTTAATATTTTCTACACATTATTATCTACTCATAGAAAAAAGAAGAATTAAAAAAGAGTTATTTATCAATTTTTAATGAATTTTCAAAGACAAGAAAAATATTAAAACAATTAAAAAGAAATTAAAACAATTAAAGGGAGGGGGGGTGTGACAAGTAACACGCGCCAGTTGGTTTCAGAATGGGCCAGAAATAGGGGGGGCGCGGATAGCGAACTAAGCCCAGAGACCAGCTTAAATGAAACGACCGCGTTTCACTTCTTTGAACTTTTCCCTCCATCTTCAGATTGAATCTGGGCCGTTGGATTAACATAAAGAGTCAAATATTCCAAACGAGATAACGGTGAGGATTGCATCTTCAACCTCTGGCCTGCTAGGGTTTCGAGACAGCTTCCATACGCCATACCTTCTCCTTCCTCTAGCTCTCTCGATTCTCCACCATTTTCCTCGATCCAAACAGCAAACTTATTCTACTCCTCTCCCTCTACACAATCACGGTGCTATATTCTTCTAAAACTCACTCTACAAAGAATTATGGAAGATGGAAGTTTCGGGTACACTTGATTCACACTGATATGCATGGTAATGGAATGAATCCATACTAACCTAGAATGTTCTACATGCTGAGGGGATTACACTAAGCTAAAAACCTAGGAATATAACAGCCTAGGGTGCATGTTCTTGATCTCTAAAGCTTCATGGCTCTGTTATGGGACTCCATGGATCGTGCTGTAACTTCTAGGGTTTCATCCTCTAACCTAATGCATCAGTTCTATATCTATAAAACTAATTAAAAGTGCATAAATTAAGAGAATTAGGGAGAGGAACCAACCTGTCAAGTAATGATGGTAGGTGCTCGTGGAGGATGTTGCAAGCCTTGTAACTGCTTCAGGATGATCCTCCAATGGTGGAAATGATTCTGTTTGCACTGGTTTTGGAGAAGAAGCCTTGTAGTGAAAGGTTTCTTGGATTGCTTGAACTTGAAGAAAGTGCTTCAATGGCTATTTCTCTCTCTCTCTCTCTCTCCTGAAATCTCTCTCTATCACCAACCTTGAACTCTCTTCATGGCCTTCTTTTTATAATGATCATTAGATGCTTCTAGATTCATCTAGAATAGGGTGGAAATTTCTTGAAAATCTCATGTGATGACATATTGAAAATCTCACATTCCATGCCTTATGCCTTACCATTTGGTGCCAAAATACCTTTACATGAGATAATGAGAAGATATGCACAACTATAAGCCTTGGTTTTGCCTTGTGTTAAGATTTCCCAAGTTGCCTTCTTTTTCAAGTAACAAGTTTTCAAAGCATCACTCATTTTAAAGCTTCAAATCAAAATTCTAGCTAAACCAATATTCTCAAAATGATGTTTCCAATAAAAATGATATATTGGATGACCTATTTTGGATTTGTGGATCTTCCAAATCAATTTTCAAATTCAACTTTTCAAACTTATATGCCATTTTTAGTTCATTTTTGACCAATCATGTAACTTCATGCTATGAGCTTTTCCAAAAATTTGTGACCTTCTTTCTAGACTTAAAATCCCATTTTGAACAACTTTCATGTTTTGAGTTTTTCCATTTGAGGCTTGGAAATAGGAGTTTTAGGCATTGGCTAAAATGACCTATAACTGACAAATGACCAAAATACCCCTGTCTTGTTCAAACCATAAGTTGAGTTCCACAAATCCAATCAAGGACTTCTACCACTCAAATTAAAGCTAAGAAGATCCTCTTCAACATTCATGTTGACCAATAAGTCATAGGAATCCTCCTACTAGGGCGAAAGTTGTCTGCAAGTTGGGTGACTTTCAAGGACCCAGATTCACACACCTCTGCTGACCTGTAATTTGTCAAAACCATAACTTGAGCTCTGTAACTCCTATCAAGGACTTCCACCACTCAAATTAAAGCTTAGAACAAGCTCTACAACATTCATGTTATGGGGAAGGTGAGATATCAATCATAACTTGAGCTAAAACTGCCTGGAAGATAGGGATCAAATTAGGGTTTTTTCACTGACAATCCTCAGAAACCCTAACTTGAAACTTCTCAAACTCCTCACTCATGATGAGTTGGCCTAGGAATCATCTTTATATCATCTCTATGCATCATTCCATAATCTCATGGCCCTTGGATTGGGTCTCAACCCTTCCCAAATCTTCAGCTATCCTAGGGTTGACCCAGTCAAAACCCTAATTCTATCATTCATGGTTGAATCCTCTGAACTCTTGCATAATGACTCCTCTGGGCTTCATGAAGGCTATCAAGACATCTCATAGGCTTTCCCAAAACATCAAATTCATTCTCAAAGTCTCAGAACCATCTGAGGAGCACCCACAACTCTCAAGCTATGAAACACACAACCCTGGTTTCAACCCATTTCTTCTGAGGATCTCTTGAACTTTCTGATGAGGGTATCCACTTTCAAACACTCAATGAATAAATAACTGTTGGTCAAATTTTGGGGTGCAACAGAGAGTTAAGAGAGATTGCACCTGAACTCATAGAGATGCGGCCGATCTCTTGGCCTTCTCATTTCTTTAAAAAATCATTCTTGAGAATTCTATTAAAATAATATCTTTGAGTTTTTATTAATTTTTGTTCAAAAACCTTCTTACAATTGATTGAGAAATTTTAACAGCGTGATCCTTCAAATTAAATAGAGATTTTAATGAACCAAACATAAATTATTTTAAACATTTTATAATGTATGAATTGACCTCTTGATGAATGAAAAGAGCATAAATTTATAAAATTCCATGGTGAATCTTATAAACATATATGAACTTACTTGGTTAAAACATTAATATGAAATAGGAATTTGAAGACAGGGTAGAGCCAACAAAGGACCTACTACCTAGGATTTTGATGACGACATTGATATTATTATTGAAAGTAAGAGAAGATGAAAATGCCCCCAACTCCCTCCACACATTAGCCGTTACCTTATCGTTGAGCTCTCTTTTGTTTCCCTCCAAACAATCTTCACACACTAAATAATAATACCCTCCATTCATCACCAATACAATACATTCTTTATTACTTTATCATCATCTTCATCATGGCTACCAAATTATTAGCCTTCACGTTAACATCTCCACGTCCATTCACTGCCTCTCCAACATTCTCTTCCTTATCATCATCCACTTCTGCTTCTACACTCCATCATCCTATTCGCCACTCTTGCCTTCGCCGCCGCCTATTCGACTTTTCCCCCAAAGCCGCTTCCGATCAACAGGAAGACGCTGTTGTTGATAGTAAAATCTTACAATACTGCAGCATAGACCAAAAAGAAAAGAAATCAATCGGTGAACTTGAACAAGAATTTCTTCAAGCACTTCAAGTATATATTCCTTTCGTCTCTTTCCTCTCTTTATTTTATATTCTGTTCTGAGCAAAGTTTAAAGCATGGCAATTATATTGAATAGGCATTCTACTATGAGGGAAAGGCTATTATGTCGAACGAAGAATTCGATAATCTCAAAGAAGAACTCATGTGGGAAGGAAGCAGCGTTGTAATGCTAAGTATGTATATGAATATTTGTGCAACTTCAACTTCTTTTTAGTCTTCATCTTGAATATTGGTTACCTGCGCAGGTTCTTCTGAGCAGAAATTTCTGGAAGCATCTATTGCTTATGTGACTGGAAAACCAATCTTGACTGATAAAGAGTTTGATGAATTAAAACTCAAGCTAAAGGTTTTTAATTTTCGTCGTATTTATAAATGAAACTTATACAAAATAGTATTTATAAATGAAACTTATACAAAATAGTGATTTTTGCTATATATGAGATAATGATTCTACATGGATTTCTTTTCTTAGATGGAAGGGAGTGAAATTGTGGCTGAAGGTCCCCGGTGCAGTCTTCGTAGTAGAAAGGTATCATTTTCGAATAAATTTGGTTAAAGTTCAAAACGGCGAAGATGATGATGAATGAATAACTTTTTATAGGATTTCATGTATGTTTTGAAATATAATAAGTGTTTATTTCTTACTAATTAATAGTCTTTTATATATAGGTTTATAGTGACCTTACTGTGGACTATTTCAAGGCATTGTTACTGAAAGTTCCAGCAACTGTGGTTGCATTAGGATTGTAAGTAAATTTCCTTCTTTTAATTTATTACATTATTTAAAATTATTATAGGCATTAACGTGCCATATTATGTCTGTGTCAGTATTTCATAATCTATATGACACCGAGCACACTTCGTGATTGGAAGAACATTTTCGACGATTTTTCTGTCATGCTTGTTACAAATATAAGTCATATCAACCATGGTTTGATTTTTGCTTCTTTTTTATTCTTTTCTCTATAATATCAGGTTCTTCTTTCTTGATGATGTAACTGGATTTGAGATCAATTATCTGATAGCGGTATATCTCCTCATTTTCCTTGTTCTAGCATCTCTAATGAGTTATTTAGATGCAATAGTTTCATATAACTAATGATTGTAATAGGTTTTGTGAATTGTTAAGTGCAGATTCCAGAACCTTTCAGTTTCATTTTGACTTGGTTTGCTGCAGTTCCTTTCATTCTGTGGTTAGCACAGTCAATTACAAATGCAATCATAAAAGATTTCTTGATTTTAAAGGTATATAGTTTTGATAATAATGTGCCAATGTTAGGTTATATATTGAACCATTACATAAACTAAGATAGTTATTTTTTTAATTAAAGGGTCCATGTCCTAATTGTGGTACTGAAAACACGTCATTCTTTGGGACAATATTGTCAATTTCAAGTGGTGATTCTACCAACAAAGTCAAATGTGAGAAGTAAGTATAAAACTACTTTTTGCAGTATTAAGTCATTTCATTAGTTAATGATAGACATTAATTTAACATTCCAAATTTATGACTCAGTTGTGCAACTGTGATGGTATATGATTCAACTACAAGATTGATAACATTGCCAGAAGGAAGCTAGGGTGACTCAAGTCAAGAAACTATGAGAGTCTTGCTCTGGCTAAAGGCAATGAACACCATTGGTTTGATATGTATGATTATGTGATATTTGTATAGCATACAAAGAATTTTTCATTGGGAGAGATGGGTTATGAGGATCCTTAACTCCAATTATTGACTTTATAAATTAACATAGTTGGTATATATTTTTCTCCTATTTTCATGTATTGAAATTATATATTATGATGGTATGTTAATTGTTCATCATCAATTAAGAAGGCAAACTTGAGATTGGCTCTGGTTTTATCATTTTTATTTTAAATTAAAATTGGGTAAATGTAATTTACATGAAAGTAAATCCAACAAATATGATATCGGTAAGCTTAAGAGTCTAATTTCTAAGTCAAGAAGAGATTGAAGATGAATTTTGAATGAGAATGAATGATACCTAGAGTGGTGCACTTTCTCCTTTAAATAAGGCAGGTGGTTAGTAAGTGCATGTTGGTGAGATGCGGCTAACCGTTAGATTAATTTCGGGAGATTGACATGGTAACTTTGTGAGGGATATTATGTGATGTGGAGAGAAAATGGGTTTATGTACTATTCATGTGATAACCACTTATTTCTCTAATGAGCTTTGCTTATTAGACTTTGTAGCTGGACCAGAACAGTTTCCCCCATCCCTTGTCCTTGCTTGGTAGGGCAAGAGTTTGTGGCATGCATTGCCATCTAATCATGGAGCTCGCAGATGCGGATGTCCTAGACAGGATGCGGTTATTCGGGGAATAGGTACATAGAAAACGACTCTTGGAAGTCGTATTGTAAGGCTGAGAGAAATCGACACGTCTTTACCAATTAGCAGAGACGTTACTTCTCCTATAGAGTCCTTAAGTGTTTCTGAATTGTTATCAAGAAGATCTCCACCGTTGATAGAGTGTTGTTGATTGAATGACCTTTAAGTGATTGAATAAAGTGTAAAGGGTTTCTCAAAGTATTATTTTACTTTTTGTTACGATTTGTTTGCGAATATAGCATTTCGTCCTACCATAAAATCAAACCCAAACAATATTGCTATTGAATGTTGGATCGATCTTTCTTCTAAACTTGAAATTACCATTTCCCTTTGCTCGTGTGCTCTTTGATTAGGGCATATAGATTGTTCAAATTCGCTTAATCTATTGTACCTGCATCATTATTATTCAAGGTATATTTTGACTATGGAAACAATGTTAATTTCAGCCAAGTTTGGCAAGGATATTTCAAGTGATTGGGTGGATCATAATATATTAAGGACTATTTTTGCCTTCATTCATGAAAGTGCATTTGATCGAGCTTTGAGAAACGTAGGTACAAGTATCGATTGGGGTGTATTTCCCCCGCGTGAAAATGGGAGGATATGCAGCCAATACGGCTGGGGTGCTATCCACTTCCTAGAATGCTTGTTCTCTATCATGGTCTACCCGATACCCATTCAACAATTTTGAAGTTAGTGTCTTGAATCATTTTTTGATTGTCACTTCATAGTTGTAATTTGTAAGTTGGGCATTCATCAAATCCTTTCAGTATTGGTGTGAGTATAACGAAGGTAAATCGACTATGACATTATTTTTTAATATTTTTAAGATTCAAAGCATCCCTAATAATGCCAGTGGCTCTGGCTCATTCTTCCCGAGGTAAGCCATCAATTAATTTAAAGCTTATTCAGAAATTGTGAAGTATGTTGAGGGATGATTTTATCTGATTACCCCTCAGCTGACGAAGCGCACATGAAGATATGTCACTTGAGGCCCGATTCTCCCTCTGATTACTCGAATATTTTTCACAAGTATTGGATTCAAAGCCACTACCTAATAGGAGTTGATTCGTACACTTACAAGGAAAAAAAACTTGTTTGTGGAGGAAATATACATGAAAAGTTAGTTGGTAGATTTTTGCAAAGAGCTAAAGTGTGTCATTGGTGTTTCGAAGCACCGACTGAAGAAGTGCATTGAGACATAGTGGCTAGTAGAGGCTAAATCGAAGGGGGAAGGGAAGAAAGTCTTTGGTTAGTGGAGTCAGAGTCTTATTTTCTTTGTCCCTCTTTCCTAGAGCTTATTTTGATGTTAATTTCTTTTAGTGTGTAAATATGATGAAAACTGAGGATGCTATGCAGCAACTAAGAAAGGAGTTTGAGTGGTTGTCGCTTTGATCAGAATCCCAAACACTCATGCTATTAAGGGAGCTTCTACCTTAGGTATGCCAAATGGAATGCCTTCTATTGGGGGAGCTTCCCAATGGGGCGTTCCAGGTTTCATTCAAATAGCTTTTGGAAGGTTATTGCTCGTGTAAGCCGTAGAGACCAATAGTGTTATTAGAACTTGGTAGTTTCATCGAATTATTTATTACTCTCTCCAATCCTATTTATAAGAGACAACTTACTTTTTAGATACATGGAATAATCAATGTATTTGGAATATATATATATATATATATATATATATATATATATATATATATATATATATATATATATATATATATATATATATATATATATATATATATATATATATATATATATATATATATATATATATATATATATATATATATATATATATATATATATATATATATATATATATATATATATATATATATATATATATATATATATATATAGGGGGTGGCAACGCGGGCGGCCCACCCCGTTTAAGCCCGTCCAAAAGCAGGATGTGCCAACTTAGGCGTTCGAGCTCAAAATTTAAGCCCGCCCCGTTTACTAACGAGCAGGTGGGTTGGCGAGCCGGCCCACAAATTTTTGTTACAATTTGATTTACTACATAATTTACAAAATTGTTAATCATTACAAAAGAGGCCGACAAATTTTAACAATGGATAGTAAAACTTTAACAAGTCTTAACGCAAATGTCATATTCTTCAACATAAAAATAATAATGTAACTATAATACAAAAAACTTAAAACAAACACACTAAAGCCCCACAAATCAACACTTTATTATCATAATGAGAAACAAACCCCTATGTGCAAAACCTTATAGCTTTAAAACATGGCTTCAATGACAACGAGTAATAGAAAATAGAAAATAATGTATTCTCTATGTTTTGCAATAAATACTTTTCCTACTACGAGTGAAAATAAAGAAAGAAG